AGATATTATTGTTGACGGTTTATTTTTAGTCTTTCAAATTTACTGTAATAAGTTTATTTTTCAACTAGTAATAAGATGTGCAAGGAACCCTGATTTGATCCCAATAAGGGAAACTGCAGAGTTAATGGAACCATCATTCCCACAATTTTCTCAAGTTTCCATCTTTACATCTCTCCAGTATTTTCAGATAAGTGAATAATCTTAGAATGTGTCTAATAATAATTATTATGAATATTGAACTTCATTGAAGAAATATTCCTCTGCATTTAACCCATCCTCTTGGGGAGCAGTGGGCTGCCATCGTGGGGCGCCCGGGTAACAGTGTGGGGTTTAGGGTCTTGCTCAGAGGGCCAGAGTGTCAGTCTGTGGGAGTGGGGCTCAAACTCAGAACCTCTGGATTCCAAGCTCTACGCCCTAACCACTAAGCCGCCACTCCCCTCTACCATCTGTATGGTGTCTAATGAACTTTTAGTTTCCGACAAATGTATTTACATTAACTATTAAACCCTCTCCAGGAATCTTTCCATGGTATCCCATTCTTTTTCTTCTATCTGGATTTTTTACTTCAATTCTCTCTCTACTCTCTACTACTTCTCTCTATTCAATTCTACTTCTCTTTTAAATGTGTAAGGGTGCCTCTTATACAAATTCAAAACATGTCTCCTAGTTGTTTTTTTTCTTTTCTACAATTGAAATTAGTGTTGAACCAATACCAGTATCGGACGGGGCCCCGATACTGCCCTAAAACGGTGGTATCGGTATCGGCGAGTACCAACAAATACGGCACAGATACCATTTTGAGAGCCATAAGTTTATTCAACTATTGTCACCCACTCCTGGTAGGCAATAAAAACTTTTTATTTTTTATTATCCAGTAGAACTTTTTATTAAAAAGTTCTACTGGATTCACTTTGCATTAGATTTTTTCCTGCTTCACAAAGGTAGGCAGCAGCTTGACAAGGCCATGATGGCAATTATTTACATTATTATGGTATCGGTATCGGCCGATACTGCACAGCCAGGTTTCGGGTATCTGTATCGGGACCAAAAAATGGCATCGGCGCAACACTAATAGAAATCAAATATTGTCCTATATCATTTTGATCTTTATTAATTCTCCTCTTTTCTTTAAAATTCATAATATGATGTATAATTAGCAGAAATCTATACATATAATTTGCAGAAGGATCAAATTGCTCCCTGATTTGTGAAAAATACTTTTTTCCTAAAAACTGGTTGAGAGTAATGAGTGTTTTTTTTTTCATTTTTTATATGTGGAAACATATTCAGACAGAGAGGCAGAAAAAGCTCCAACAGATATCATATTTGGTAAACTGTGATAAAAATGGGCTTTAACTGGTATAACTGTTTTTGAGGTGCCCTCAACTGCTTTTGGAGGGCACCTCAAAAACATTTTTTTTTTGCATTTATAATTATAATATAAAATACAAAATTTCATGATAAAAAATGCTTTTTAGTTTCATTCTGTCTGAAAAATGTAATATTTTTATTCATCAAAGCTTCTTTGATTTCTTTGCTGTCTTTCTTACACTAAAGGTTGTTTTTTCCCCCACACTACTGTTGCAGTTGGGACCAAAAAGTACAAACTAAATGACTTTTATACTGTAAATAAACTGCATACCAGTTAATTAATTACTTTATATATTATAGGCAGATATGCAGAGCCACAAAATCCAAATTTACTAAGAGCCCCAGGAGTTTTGAGCTGGTCCTGTAAATACTTTTCAAGCTAAATGGATATTGGTTTTGCAATAGGCTAAAGAGAAACTTAAATAAGTTTAAGACAATTATTACAAATATGAAACAACCAGATAGCAATTTATATAACACTCCTTTATTTAGGAGCTGCAGACATCAATGATGATATAGACCACAGAATTCCAGAATCGGGCCCCTGAAATGATTTTAAATGGCCCCTGAACAGTTAGAGAAAGAGACAAATCTGGTGATTTTATAAAATTTAGCATAGACCAAAATGCAGAATAATCTTGATGCTGGGAATAGACTTAATACATTTTCTAGACCAACAAAACAGAAAAAAAACTGTACACCTTCCTTTATTTACACACTTAGGAGACTCCATCAAAAATACAATAACCTGTTGATTCATACATCGTTTTGGTACAAGTAAAGCATTCGCAATGTATTTCTAGACAGGCAAAGAATTGCTAATGAAAATATTTTAGTGGTTTTAATAAAAAACAATTATATATACATGATTGGGCAACACTTATATAGACTAACGCACTTTGACAACAGTTTTGAAAAACTGTTGATGATCTCAGTAGAAGATTTTTGATTAAACTGATGACAGCTTTCTTTTGGGTTTCAAGCACTTTAAGAGCAACTCTCAGTTATGAACAACAGCTTATGTCACCAGCATTTATCAAAGTTAAAAAAGTAGATGCTGTGGCTTGATGTGTTTATTGACAAGAAAATGGTGGCAGTTCTTATTTGTGATCCATTAAATCAATTGAAATAAACAACAATGATCAAAAATCTAAATGGATAAAGGGAAAGTTTGCAAATGTTAATATCTAGCTATCTGACTGGTGCATTTCCTATTTAAGGTCAATACTTGATTATATTAAACAAACAATTTAATAGCAGTATATTTGAAATGAACTCAGATCTCCATCACATATCAATGAGAATCATTTGATGAAGAAGAGTAAAGTTAAGATGAAGGTTCGCTGTAATTCAGAGGTGACAGCAGGAGCCTGTAAGCACGGTAAAGGATGTAGCGCCGTAGATCACCTGTCCATCCTACATCCCACTGATGCAGCCAGTGGATCCTGGAGAATCTAGCACAACCTGAGCCCAGGCGTACTAAAGCAGGGTCACTTCCCATCCAGCAGGCCCTGGATGCCATAAGCACATTGGTGTAATCCCTGCAGACTACTGAAACGGGTAACTGGATCACTTCTTTTAAAAGCACCTTAATGGATTGGCCTGGCCGTTGATTTTCTTTTTTAATGCAGAGAATATCGATGTCCATCAATCAAACCTTTAACCGCGCCGTCACTGGTTTTCCTTCCGTCTAAATTCCGCTTCCAAGAGGATCCAAACTATGCCGGTTACAAAACCCTGCATCTGACGGGCTGCCCTCACTAGGCCTCATGCTTTCTGATTTGTAAGAAAGCGGCAGTCGATCATAAACAAGGTGGGTTGGGATGTTTTGCACAGATTGCTGAAAATTATTTTAGATTTGAAAGAGAAATCTGGAGCGGTGCAAGTCACCCAGTTATAAACTGAGACTTGTAGAAATAATTTAAAAAAGGGCAAATTAGTCTAAAATCTAAAACGAATCCAACAACCTTAAAACTGCTTTTGCAAAACCTTCACTTGTGATGACACCATTTAGTTTTTCTCCTATTTGAACCCTGCTGAGTTTCACATTCACACCGAATGGACACAGTTAAGCCAACAGAACCAGAAGAAACAGAGATCCGGCTTAAGAGAAAAACTTACCCCTTTAGTGTGATCTGTGGCAACATCTAGGCTTCCCCCCTTTGGCCTGCTAGTTATCCAGAGCAGGGCGAGATGGAAAAGTCTCTAGTGTGGCTGCAGTCTTACCTACCATCCAAAACCCTCTCACCGCTGCTACAGCAACAGAGAGCGGATTACTGGACTGTACCATTCTGTTAGGAGGGGATTAGAGTTCACACAACATGGCCCCTTTCTGGGAGCGCGCGTGGCTCTGGAAGTGCATGTGTGCGTCCCACAGATGAGAGATTACCACAATCGGCATTCTCACTTGAGCTTCACAGGCGGAGGAGAAATTTGCAATAACATTATCTGTGAATCAAATGAGTGCCTTTAATGTTATGTAAAATGATTTTTATCAAACGCAGGCCGCCTCTTTTTGATCTATCCCTCAAAAGGACGCTAGAAGTAGAAAATATGAACCAATATTCATGCTTTACATAGCAACATTTTTCCAATTACAGACAGGAGGCAGATTGCTACAAGAGAAATTAATTAAATATGTTTTTTTTTCTGTTTTAGGGGTAAAGACTGATAACTCAGACAATACAGCTGTGTAGCAGCGGCGAGTACAGAGAAGATCAGCATCACACGCAGAGAGGATCAGAGGTTATGACTTTGGTAGCTTTGATCAGGCCCAAGTTAAAGACGGGGAATCGCCTCATTATGGCTGCTAGCAGATTAGTATCAAGTCCAATGACAAGCCATTACATAATACTGCCAAACGGCCTCCGTTCCAATGTAAACAGAGCAAACCTCTGAGAGCTGCATTTACCACCACAGCAACTTTAACCCCTTCTGTGTTTTAGAGGCAACAGGGCAATGTCTGGTTATGCAAGTAAGGGTCAAGACTGCTGCATTTGTTAATCAACCCTGAAAAACACTCATTACTGTTAGACTGAATACACAGAGCTCTGTCGTTAGCAGGGGGTGTTGAGTTAAGGGCTGTGTACACTCCTGCAGCAGTGTGTCGCAGGTATGATGCAGACATTTTTGATTTATGCTCAATTTTGAAGCGTGGCTGCGCCATGTTTATTCCACGCCACAACACAAAAGGGGCAAATCCTGAACTAGCTGTGGGTCTAGATACAGCTGAGGAGGTGAGGAAGTGGGGGCAAGTTTGTCCGAAAACGGAGGGGCATGAGGGCGAAAAGCAGGGATCCAGGTGAAAAAATGGTCCCAGCGTTCTCGCTCACCTCGTTCTTCTAGCTGGTCCAACTTCACAAGTCGTTTTCCACAATTGCGGTCATACAAACAAAACAAGCTGGTAAGGTACCAAACAGAAGATACAAATAGTGTAGTGTAGCGATATAGATTTGACCAATCAGAGGCCTCCTGTCTGCGGCACTGTCTGCAATCACCTATAATTTGGGAGAGACGCAGGAGAGTGTCTGTGGAAGGGGCGGGGGCGTGCCTGCTTTCACTGTGACAACTACGCAGACGACCTGGTTTCGTAGTAGTATAAATCCGCCTTTATTATTGGGATCCTTTACCTTCCCCTGGCCTGACTCTTTGGCGTTTTCCTCACTCTTTTCGGTGCCGTCACCGTCGTGCCTGAAGTCGCCCCGCTGCTGGGTGGAAGTGACGGACAGCTGCCTCTGGAGCCGCAACACCTCCTTCTGAGACTCTCTGAGGAGCTTCTCGTACTCCAACTGAGGCGACCGAACAGGGGAATCCTGTGAAACGAGGTCAGGAAAACATTATTAAACCTATTTAAAAAAGTAAAAAAGAATTCACTGGAGGCGTTTCGCTTCCCATCCTGGAAGCTTTTTCAAATCAAAAAGTCAGAATTAGCATCGAGTTTGAGGCTTTATAGAGTGGATCAAAACAAAAATAATGAAACCACCCCTTATGAATGGGGAGTCATTTTGGGACCTTTGTTCGCCTGCAATACCCGATACTCTACGCCTCTGAAAGGGGGTTCTTAGGAGGAACTGTTGGCCTGGCTGAACCTTTCAGTTTTGGAATCAATTCTTTCAATATTTTTAGATCTTTAAGATAAATAAAAATATTTAAAGAAGTTGTAGCTTCTACATTAAAGACACTCAGTTTAAAACCCCTATATGTAATACTTAACACATAACACCTATTAATATGAATAGTTTCTGTCAAAATGTGAAAGTTTTAATTGTTTAATATAGACCTCTTGTTTCAATTGAAATATAACTGCTCCCCAAATAAACCTATTCTGCTTTCCACCCAGCAGGGGCTCAGATTAGGCAGAATCAGCTCTAATTTACAGACAGGCAGTGAGAAAGACAGCCTGTTCCTGCACTGTCATCTATCCAGATATCAGCAGTGACGCAGCCTCTGTAATACAGGCTTAGTTGAGATGGAGCTATACCTAAACTGACCAGCAGAGGGCAAGCTTGTGGTGGAGATGACAGTTGAGGAGAGGGTTTTAAACCTTAAGCTCATTCTACAGCAAATAATTAGAGGGAAAACTAAAACATTTGCACCTTGGCGGGTCCCAGCCGTGCCTCGAGCTGCCGGCACTCCTGCTGCAGAGAAGCAATCTCTTTGTCCTTACATAGCAGTGCATCAGCATGCTGGGCCAGGTCACGAGCTCGTTGGCGGGCAAAAGCTCTTTTGTACTGCTCCACGGCACCAGGTCTAATAAGCGAAGGAGGATTCACCTAGATTGGAAAAACAGAATTTAAATAAAATAAGGTTTTCTATACAAAAAGGAAACAAACTTGGTTTTTAAAGGTATTAGAAATGCATTTTAGGGATGCTCTAATGCAATCACATTTATCTAACCAGGGGCTCAATGCGGAAAGTTTAAACAACTAATGGATTCCTTAAAGATAAACTCTGCTCCCAGAGCATTTTCTGACTGTACCAGCTGAGTTTCCACTAATGCTACGTTCAGACCGGACGCAGCAAAAGCAGCAAAATCACGTCTGCTGCTTCATTTTTACTGTTTGTACCAGTTAGTTCTGACGCGCGGCTGAAGCAGCTTTGCTGCTCTGGCTGCGCGGTGCAAAAGTGTGTCTGACGCGCATTGTGCGGAGCTTCACTATCCTTTCTCTGCCTTGCAGCTATATTTGCTGTGATCAGTGGGAATAAAGTAGTTTTAATATGTTTTTAAGTGAGAAAATACACCTGAAAACTTCATCAGTGCAGTCAGTTCATCCAGATTACAATCCTGCCTCCCAATGTTATTTCTGTCGGAGCCGCTCAGACCCCCACATACCGGCGGTGCGCCGACAGAAGGAATCCCTTCAACAGCAGCCTCTGGCCGGGTCGCCTCCTCGCGGTTCACCGCGGCGGCTGGTAGGTGTTTTTCATCTAAATAATCCGATCTGCAGGCAGCACAATAATAAAAGCGAACATATTCAGCCGGCAGATGTATGCATTTTAAGTTAATTATGCGTTAATAAACTGTTTAAGAGGAGCGATCAGAGCAGTCTGTGTCATCAGCGCTGTGTCTCTCTCCCAGCCAGCTCCCAGATCAGCTTCTCTGATTGGTTGACGCGGCGCGTCGAGTAGCAAAAATTCAATTTTTCCATCTCGAGCAGCAACGCGTTTGCGGCGCGTCATGCGCATCAGATGCTTAAACGCGCCCGACGCGCTGCTTCAGCTGCTCAGACGCGCTGCGCCTGCTGCTCAAAACGCGCCGCGGGACCTTTTGCTGCGCCTTGACGCGCGTCAACCATTGACTTTGCATGTAAACTCGCTGCTTCTGTCGCGCCAGCTGCCTCCCGTGTGAACGCAGCATAAGATCCATTTCAGTTTCTTTTAAAAAAAAATGTAAAATAGCTAATGGAAATTATTAGGGGCTTCTTCCCACTTTATAACTGAGTTATTTTAAAAACAAAAAAACATCTGCAAAGCAGCTAAATCATAAATATCAATATCAAAAATATTACTATCTTCAATCAAATTCCATTATTTTGTGAAGCATTTCATAAAGAGTTGGCCCGGAGCTGCTTTTCTAACTCAGAATAGTGTCTGGACAAAAAAAAAAAAAAACATCATAATAGGGTAGACTTGAGTAGATTGTTCAGCAACCACCGGTAGTCATCAGAGCACTCTGAGAATGTGACATTTAAATCGAGGGAGTTGTTCAAAGAGATTCCAGGAACGCCATCATAGAGCTTTATCCAGAATGGTACTGTTCTAGGAACAGCGAAATTATGAGAAAAGTCCTCAAGCTCCCTGCCAAAGGATCAAAACTAACACAGAACTACTTATCATGTTATGCTAGCTACTTTTTAGCCGATGATCAGGCATTGAGACAAAGGTCAGGCATTATTAGGGCGGTGTACCACTTTGAGGTTGGCCTCCTGTAGTTTCCTCGCTCTTTCTTCCAGTCTCTTTGCAAGAACAGTCAGCTCGGTGTTCTTTCTCCTCAACCGCCTGACCTTCTCCTCAGTCTCTGGGGCGCTGCTCTTTCTCTAAGAACACACAAAACAAACAACTTGATCACAACGTGTATATATCTATAGATATTTATGTCAGTTTAAAGTCGAATGTCACACAGAAAAGCATGAAAACATGAATAAAATGAAACAACCGAATAAAGGTCTGCAAAATAGAAACTAGTGGTGTTAGAATTCTCTTTGTTAAGTATTTTGTGGGTCTGGCCTACTTTCTAAAAAGCTTTTCATCAAGGGAACACACACCCACCCACATATACACACTCAGTTATTTTTAGTCCTACCAGCAGGCCATTCTCCTCCTTTAGAGTGTTGCAAGTCTTCTCCAGCTCGTCGAGGGCTCGCAGGAGCTCTGAGTTCTGACGCACCAGCAATTCATAATCCATCCCATTCTGTGAAAGAAGCAAAGCAGAAACATTCAGTTTATCAACCATAGTGTGAAGTTCTTTGTTGGTTTTTTGGGGGTTTTAGAGAATACAAACCAGGCCAAGAAAGGGATGAACCGGTTTAATAGCTACAGAAAGTACTCTTAGGTTAAATTTAAATGTTTCAGATTAAACGAGGGTAATATAGACTCAGAGACTGAGGTTGGCAGTGGTAAGCAGAGATATAAACCTGCGTTTATGGTTTGAGAGATGTTGTACACTATAATCTGAATAATGGGGATCAAATGAAAATGAATAAAAGTCACACTATAATGGCTCTTAAAAGTATAACCTATACAGACTTTCATTGTCATAGCCTCCCTAAACCTCCAGTGATGAGGGGGGGTGGAAATTCCCACCTGAAATGATCCGTCCACAGCATAACTACCAGTGTCCCTGGTCGGTGGGGAATAATAATAACATGTATTTTTGTTTCGGTAAACAGCGTACAGTTATAGCCAAGGCAGAAGACAAACCTCTAAAATCAACACACAGTCAGCAACAGGGGTGCCATCACAATCTCAGAAGTAAGGGGGACATAGTTTCAGTGGTTATATAAAGTTATCAAAATAAATAAGAAAAGAACCGGTGAAGATTTAAAGAAAGTCAGTCCTCGAGGACCGTTGTCCTGCAGGTTTTAGAGGTTTCCCTATTCCAGCATAGCTGATTTCCATTAATAGAGGCTTTTGCTGAACTGCAATCATCAGAATAAGCTGTGCTGAAGCTGAGAAATCTCTAAAACCTGCAGGACAGCGGCCCAGGACCGACTGTGGAGAGGCCTGCTTTAAAGCAAAGCCCAACTTATTGACCAGAACAGATAGAGAATTTGTATAGGCCTGTATTAAGAACAAAATGGGAACTAAAGAAAAAGAAAAAAAACAGCAATAAAGGCTGTGGGATGGTTTATATGCTGACTGAGGCAGTGAGAGCTGATTCTCAGAGAGAGATCTATGAAGTTTGTCAGTTTTTTTTCTCCATAGAGTCATGAGCTTCACTTACCTGATCTGTCTGCCCCTCATTTTATTTTTTTATTAAGGCACAAAAAGGATCACTACTTTATCCGTTTTCTGTCCTCCTGGACTCCTATGGTGAGTAAAGTATTCTATTTTTTAATGTTTAATTGATTGTTTTTGCACAAGTCTGTCCCACTTGCTGTGTATGCTCTATGAAACTCCAAAAATGTCTCTTTCCCTGTGCGGTTAAATCAAAAATGTCTCTTTCCCTGTGCGGTTAAATCAAAAATGTCTCTTTCCCCGTGCGATTAAATGATTTTATTTTCTATTTTCCCCCCAAGTGGATGAGTTTTACTATGTAACCGCATCTCTCTTCCTGTCAGACCCATGAAATTGCTGCTAAATTGCTGGTTAGTCAGACTGAAATAGACCTGGAGTCTATCTTTGTTGGAGCTAAAATTGTGTTGGGTGTGATCATCTCCATTAACTTTCAATGTGCACTATACGCCACAACCTCGCCCAACACAATTTTACATCAGATTGGTTGGAACATTGGATTTTGTGTGTTCTGGCCTTTACCCGCAAAGACTCTGCATCTTCATCCACTGCTTCTGGCCTCTGCCCTTCTTTGATTTGGGTCTTTTTTAATGTTGCTTTAAAGATTTGGCTTTAATATGTGAAAAGCCTTAGAGAGCAGAAATCAAAGAGCCAGATAGCAAAGTATGTAACACAGAGAACAACTACGTAGGATAACATGTTATACTTGCATGTATTAATGCAACTGTTCCGCCCATGGTCAGCAGGCTCACTTCTCCACTTTGGAGTCCTTTTTGGGTAAAGCTTTGATCACATCTTATCAGACAAACATTCTTTCACTTTTTCAAAAAAAAAAAAAAAAAAATGTCTTTGCTCCTATTTTTTGCTGATTTTATTTCTCCAACCAAACAAATGTGTCTCTGTGTAATCTATGCCTTCAACAGTTGTGAAATGATTTAGATAATCTTCTAGGTCAGAGACATCTGATTCTCTACAGAAGGAACAGAGAATCTCTACACCATCGTAATGGAAATGTACAAAACCTAAGTTATGGCTGCAGGTTCTCTATATCTTCCCTCCTGATGCAGCAGAACGTATTTCAGCTCAGCAGACACTGACCACAATATTTAATAGCCTCTGAAATCTCTGGCACTTTCCATAAGCCTCACACCAAAAAAAACTTTAAAATGACTGAGATCAGGGAAAGAAAATTAAAATAGAAATATGCTGATGATGTAGGATATAAGCCCATATATAAGCCCAGAACTTCATGGTATCTTTATTGTTATCTACCATTAAAAGAAACATTGTGTTGCTTAAAAAAAAAGAAACAAGAAGGAGCATCTTATTATAAGACTACTTGCTTCCATGCATTTATCAGAGGCGGAGAAATACTACTTATCCGACCGCACAGAGTACATCACAGGGATGTGCTTGGTAACACGCTATCGACACAGATGACTATTAAAGCTAAACAATAAACACTGCTGTTGGTATATTACAATGGAAAAAATAGAAATCTAGATAAGTCATTTTTTTCTTAAAATAAATGCATTTGTTCTTGATTGAGGTGGTAAGTGAGATACTTTGCCAACAGAATGAAACAATTTATATTTAAAATAAGAAAAAAAAATATTGCATTGTCTTATTTCAAATGCATATTATCAAATTATCTTATTTTAAGAGTAAAAAATCTAATTCCATTGGCAAATCATCTTATTTACCAACTCAAATTAAGGGTAAATACGCTTAATTTAAGAAATGTTGACTTATTTTTTCTAGATTGTTTTTTTCAGTGTAGGACGACTGGGTTACCATCACTTCTTAACGGATGCACCAACGCTGTCGTCAACTAGGGCTGGGCGATATAGAAAACAAGCTCATCGATAAAAAAAAAAAGCACATTGATCGATATCGATAATTATTGAAAAGATTTTAAACCATATTTTATGTGCAGCTCTGCCTGGACATGTTATGATATTGCTAAATGATTTAATTTTATTAGAGAACACAAACACAGACTTCCAATTAAATCTTTATTTATCCAACTTTTTTTTAACCATAACAGAATTATTTTAATTCCTGGAGATTCCTCGGAGGCAATGCAGAGCCGCCCCGGGCCCTACACAGCTCGTACTCCTGCGGCTGTGAGCGGCTGAGATGATAAAAAAAAGTTGGTTGCGTTATCAGACTTGGTTTTCACTGGTTCCCGACACATTTTACAGATGACTGTGTTTTTTTTGTCCGACTTGCCATGACCGAAATACTGCCAGACTGCCGAACTACAAAAACCCTTCTTTGGAACAATTTCCTCCGCCTCTCCTTGCTGCGACATCTTCATGTGCTCTGTGTTATCGTTTGAGAGGGCGGCGCTTTGTGACGGCGTGCCTGGGTCCGCGATTGTGATTGGTTGGGAGGAAGTAGTAACTAGAATAAACCTACATGCTAGGCTACAATGAGAAGGAAGGAAAACTGCGTTTCTTTATCGAACTTTTATCGACCCTCTTTTTTTCTATTGCGCCCAGCCCTATCGTCAACACACAATACGTTACTATTTCTTTGACTCTTTTTAATTTACCAAGACAGAAAAGCATTTCCTCAAAGATGCTTCTAATTCTAAACTAGCTGCATTAAGTGGCATAGCTGGAAGTAATGAAAACTGGTAAGTAACAGACAAAACTTAAATCGATGCAGGACAGAAAACCCTCCCACATCCCTATACCTTGGGGCAGTGGCTAATTCACTCTGCTGATAATATCCAAGCCTTGATATTGTTAATTTGTTGCTCTACATTGTTGTTATGGCAAAGACAATGAACTGATTGATTTAATAAATAGTGATCTAAATTGTTATTACAACAAATTGTACGGTCAGGAAAAGCTACCTAAACTCTTAAATGTCTGACTTAACTTCACAACTATATATTAACATAAGGTATATTTAGTTTTGGTTTCAAACTAATGCTAAAGAGCCTATATCCTGAAAAAATAACCTTGTTGAATTTTTAATTATTTTATAATTAGGGCAGAGCAACCAATTTAATTTGCTTTATAAATGCAACTTAAAAACACAATTTTTAAATAAATCATGATGCGCTCAAGCTTGGTCTCTGGTCCACTCTATAAAGCCTCAAACTCAATGCTATTCTTGACATTTTGAAGTAAAAAAAGCTTCCGGGATGGGAAGCAAAATGTTTTCAAACTTGGAAACAAAGTCCAGCATTGACAGGTATCAGCTACTGCAGGCTAACAAAGAGCCCATGCGACTGCCAATTCATAAGGGGCGGACCCATTCGTCTGGTTCAATTTGCATGTTTTCTAAGCCAAAACAAGGCTTTGATTTGTGGTCCACTCTATAAAACCTTGACCTCAAGCAAATTCTGATATTTTGAATTGGAAAAAGCTTCTTGGATGGGAAGTGAAACATCTTCAAACTTGGAAAACAAAGTCCAGTGGATTTTTTAAAAACTTTTTTGCAATAAACTTTGGTCAGATTACATTTAACAAGACTAAAGGCTGATTTATACTTCGAAACCAGGTCGTCTGCGTAGGTGTCGCAGTGAACAAAAAGACGTCCCCACCCCCTCCGCAGACACTCCGCTGCACCTCTCCCAAATTGTAGCTGACCGCTGAAAGTGCCGCAGACAGGAGGCCAGCTTGTTTTGTTTTTATGACCGAAATTGCGGAAAACAAACTCGTGAAGTTGGACCAGCTAGAAGAGTGAGGTGCGTGAGAACGCTGGGACCCATCTTCCACCTGGATCCCCGCTCTTTTTCGCCGTCATTTCCCTCCGTTGTTGGACAAACTTGCCCCCACTCCTCTCCGCCTCGGCCGTATCTAGACCCACAGCATATAGCGCAGACCACGCGCAAAATTGAGCACAAATCAAAAATGTCTGCGTCAAGCTCACTGCAACACACTGCTGCGGGAGTATAACCAGCCCTTAAGACCTTTAGGGGAAGGTAATAGGCCTAAAATG